CTAATCAGATAGAATATGTGAACTCATCCGTGTGAGATTGGCCATAGTGTGCTGGGCCTTCAGTGGCAGTAATATGAAAGGATTTCATAACGCAGACTTTCGTAACGTGATCACACAGGGTCGATCCTTTTGTGCATCCATTTCAGTAGAGTTTAGTAACAAAGAGTGTTTTTGGCTGGCATAAGTTAATTTCTTCATCATACTTTTTTTTCGTTTACTGAGCTGTCTGTGTAAGTCACTGAATCCAACCAGATACCTATCTTCTTAATAACTGTCTTGATGCCTAAAACACAGCGCTGTTTGAAACTACTTAACCAACTCCCAGCAAGTGTCAGCTAGGCTTGATAAAATTTCCACGCAGCAGGGTGAGTTGTAACGTGGTGTTAAAACTGAGCTGCTGATAGCACATTTTCTCTGTTTTTGCACTTCAAACTCAGGTTCAGTTTGAACGAATGTCCTTAATTAAATGAAGATATACGTTGTATTTTAATTTGTCAGGTATCATCTTGACACACAATTTCACAGTCTTGTCAATATTCATATATTCAATACTTTGACATGTGGATGTAGGTTACCCAATCTAGTATGTACATCTGTCAGTCCAACCATTGAATATGGATGATAGACTAACAGATGGATGTATACCTGTATGGATACTTATCCATCCATCCATCCATTTTCATCCGCTTATCCGGGGCCGGGTCGCGGGGGCAGCAGGCCAAGCAAAGAACCCCAGACATCCCTCTCCCCAGCAACACTTTCCAGCTCCTCCTGGGGGACCCCAAGGCGTTCCCGGGCCAGACGAGATATGTAATCCCTCCAGCGTGTTCTGGGTCTGCCCCGGAGTCTCCTACCAGTGGGACGTGCCCGGAACACCTCCAGCAGGAGGCGCCCAGCAGACATCCTGATCAGATGCCCGAGCCACCTCAGCTGACCCCTTTTGACGGGATGGAGCAGCGGCTCTACTCCGAGCTCCCTCTGGATGTCTGACTCCTCCCCCTATCTCTAAAGGCCCTGACACCCCACAGAGGAAACTCATTTCCACAGCTTGTATCTGCAATCTCATTCTTTCGGTCACTACCCAAAGTCCATGACCATAGGTAAGGGTTGGGACGAAGATGGACCAGTAAATTGAAAGCTTTGCTTTCTAGCTCAGTTCCCTCTTCACCACGACGGACCAGCACAGCGCCCGCATCACTGCAGAAGCTGCACTGACCCGCCAATCCATCTCACGCTCCATTCTACCTTCACTTGTGAACAAGACCCCGAGATACTTGAACTCCCTCGCTTGAGGCAGTAACTCTACCCCAACTCGGAGAGGACAAACCACCTGTTTCCGACAGAGGACCATGGCCTCACACTTGGAGGTGCTGACTCTCATCCCAACTGCTTCACACTCGGCTGCAAAACGCTCCAGGTCATGCTGGAGGTTAGGGTGTGATGGAGCCAACAGAACCACATCATCTGCGAAAAGCAGGGATGCAATTCCAAGGTCCCCAAACCGGACTCCTTCCTCCCCCCGGCTGCGCCTCGAGATCCTGTCCATGAAGATCACAAACAGGATTAGTGACAAGAGACAAACTTGGTGGAGGCCAACACCCACCGAGAATGTGGTCAACTTCACACCGAGTATGCGGACACAGCTCTCACTTTGGTCATACAGGGAACAAATGGCTCATAGCAGCGAGCCTGGAATCCCATACTCCCGCAGTACCCCCCACAAGACCCCCCGAGGGATGTGGTCGTAAGCCTTCTTCAGGTCCGCAAAGTACATGTAGACTGGATAGGCAAACTCCCACACCCCCTCCAGCAGCCTTGCAAGGGTAAAGAGCTGGTCCACTGTTCCACGGCCAGGACGGATTCCGCATTGCTCCTCCTGAATCTGAGGTTCGACAATCGGTCGGAGCCTCCTTTCCAGCACCCTGGAGTAAATTTTACCCGGGAGGCTAAGCAGTGTGATACCCCGATAGTTGGAGCACACCCTCTGGTCCCCTTTCTTGATGATGGGGACCACTACCCCGGTCTGCCACTCCACAGGCACCGTACCCCACCTCCATGTGACACTGAACAGGCGTGTAGCCAAGACAGCCCAACAGTGCCCAGAGCCTTCAGCATCTCAGGGCGAATCTCATCCACACCCAGCGCCTTGCCACTGGGGAGCTTTTTAACTACCTCAGCCAACAGAAAGTCCTTCTCCATATCCTCTCCAAACTCCTCCCACACCTGGGTTTTTGCTTCAGCGACCGCCACAGCTGCAGCCCTTCTGGCCAACCGGTACCTGTCTGCTGCTTCAGGAGACCCCTGGGCCAGCCAGACCTCCTTCAGCCTGACGGTCTCCTTTCTTCGGTTGCCGCCCCGTCAGCCACCGACAACCTTCTGACCACAGCTCCTAGCAGCCGCCTCCACAATGGAGGCTTTGAACATGGCCCACTCAGACTTATCCTTATCCTTACCCTGAGTTAGATAGAGAGGTTAGTAACTACATACAACTATCCATCAATCTATCACAGATCTAAGAGAAAAATATATAATATCCACACATACTGTGCATCTGTCTGGGTTTTGTTCTTTCTATTCATGAAGCATTGGTGGTTAGATGAGGGATTTACAGATTTTGGATATCTATCATAAATAGATCCATAAACAGTATTGGCCTATAGAATATTGATAGAATTGTATTGAATTGTGTTAAACAGACTTTTCCAGCAAGTGTTACAACTCACCCTCTGCCTGTTACATTTAACCCCACCCATGGGGTTGAGCTCAGTCACACTCCGAAGCCGCTGAAATCCAGCACTTGGGCAGTGGCCTGCAGCATCAGAAACCAAACCTTTTTTCCTAAACCTAACCACATGTTTTTGTTGAAGGACAATGCATGTAACAGGCTGAAGCTGACATGGTGTCCCAGAATGTCTACAACCAACACACCCAGGGTACCTTGGATGTCATACGTGGACGTGGAAAGTCCATGACCGAAATGTCAATATGTGACGAGGTCGGATTGAGAACATGTTGGTTTACTAAAAATTGTTAGTCCTATACCAATATTACATCATTTAGAAATATCCAGATAGTCACAAAAGTTTATGTGTAATTGAAGTGAAGATATATATATATAAAAAAAACAGAATGGTTAGTCAAAATTACTAAAATACTAAAATTCTCATGGGATGTTCAAATTAAAATATATTAAGTATACAAGACACTTGGCATATTAAACAGTTGGTCTTAAAGGCTGTGCTACATGCAGTTATTAATGCAGTATATTGGCCATGGCAATGTTTGGATTTTCCAAAAAAGTGAGATTGTTTATGAAAACTAACTTACGTAACACTTCTGTGTTTCAGTTTTATAATTTTGTGCTGTTTTTCCTTAAACTCTACAGACACTAACAGTTTCTTCAGTGGTACCAAAGTGAAAATATGGCGGGATCAGCAACCGCAGCACGTGGTGAGTTAAGTAGTTGGGCATTCAGACCAATCACAGACTTGCCTTTAAACTACACAAGGGGCTGGGAATTGTATTGCTTTCACATACCAATTAGACAGGAAATACAATCCAGGATGTCAAGTATGAATGGTTGGCTTCAGTAAAAATGAATAAGAAAGCTGCATTTTGTTAAGCACTGGGTAAAGTCAGAATTAACGCTGCCAAAAACCTATCAAGATCCATGATATATCCTGTTACATGGATAAAGACGAAACCTGTCCATATACATCTTTATCAAATCAATGCCCTAAAGATAGATGAAAAGATGATAATGACAATGAGCTAAACTGGAATTATAGCAATGGTAATTGTGTTGCTTCTGTTTTACAGCATCTGAACTCAGGATTGTGATCTTTGGAAAGAGTCAAAATGAAAAGACAGCATTGAATAACATCATCACAGGGAAAAAAGACTCGTCTGTTCTAAAAATGCCTAAGAAAACTACTGCCCAGGGAAAGTGGAAGAAAATACCCAGAACAGTGGTGAAAACCAAAGACCTCTTCAGTCTGCCTGTAGAAAAAGTGAGACACAAGATGAAGACGCATGTTGCTGATTGCCCCCCTGGACCAAATGTTCTGCTGCTGTTAGTGAACCCTTCTGATTTTACTGAGGTGGACAGAAAAACACTGAAGTTCATCCTGAGCTTGTTTGGTGAAGATGCTTTAAAATACTCAATGGTCATCACAACACACAATGACAAGAGAAAAAATGTGGCGGTAGATCAACTCATCCAAGACTGTGGACAAAGGCAGCAGGGAATTAACATTGATAAAAAAGACTTTTCAGACCATGATCTCCAAACACTGATGGAAAAGATGGAAAACATTGTGAGTGACAACAGGGGAGGATATCTAAACCTTGCTGAAGGGGCTGAGACCTTGGAAGCATCTGAATGTGCAGAATCAAAACCTCCTCTGAACTTAGTGTTGTGTGGGAGATTTGGAGTTGGGGTGACATCAGTAGCTAATGCCATTCTGGGAGAAAGGAAGTTTGGACAGCGTGCCAACTCATCAGAGTGTGTTAAACATCAGGGAGAGGTGTGTGGACGTTGGGTTTCCCTGGTGGAGCTGCCTGCCTTGTATGGAAAACCTCAGGAGGCAGTGATGGAGGACTCATTCAGGTGTATCTCCCTCTGTGATCCTGAGGGCGTCCATGCCTTCATCCTGGTCCTACCTTTGGATCCTCCCACTTATGAAGACAAGGAAGAGTTAAAGATCATCCAGAACACATTCACTTCCCGAGTCAAAGACTTCACCATGATTCTGTTCACTGTGGAGTCAGATCCTACAGCTCCAGCTGTTGTTAACTTTATGAGTAAGAACAGAGTCATCCAGGAGCTCTGTCAGAGCTGTCAAAAATATGACGTCTTCAACATCAAGGATAAGCAGCAGATCCCAGAGTTGTTGGATGCTGTGGAAAAGATGAGAGCTGGTAAATCCAGAGGCTTCACAAAGGAAATGATGGCCAAGCCCCGGGTGAAAAAGGTTGGAAGACATAAAGTGGATCTACAGATGGCAGGTTATAAAGAAAAGAGCCCAGACCATCTCAGGATGGTGCTGATTGGGAAGACTGGTTGTGGAAAGAGTGCCACTGGAAACACTATATTGAACAAGGATTGCTTTAATTCTAAAGCCAGCACAAGGTCGGTCACCAAACTTTGCAAAAAAAAAGAGGGAGAGATTAATGGGAGGCCTGTCACTGTGGTTGACACTCCTGGCTTGTTCGACACAGCTCTGTCCAATGATGAAGTTCAACAGGAGCTTGTGAAGTGCATCAGCATGTTGGCTCCAGGACCTCATGTGTTTTTACTGGTGCTGCAGATTGGCCGCTTTACACAGGAAGAAAAAGTTACTGTGGAACTGATCAAAATGTTTTTTGGTAAGAAATCAGAAGACTTCATCATTGTTCTATTCACACGGGGAGATGAACTTAAAAACCAAACCATTGAGAGTTACATAGAGGAAGACAGTGAAGACTTCATCAAAAAACTGATAACTGAATGTGGAGGAAGATACCATGTCTTCAACAACAACGATCTGAAGAATCGTTCTCAAGTCAGCCAGCTGCTGGCCAAGGTTGAGTCAATGGTAAGTAAAAACGGTGGTGGCTACTACACCTCAGAGATGTTCAGAGATGCAGAGGCAGCCATTCAAAAGGAAATGGAGAGAATACTGAATGAGAAACAAGAAGAGATACAGAGACAGAGGAGGGACCTTGAAAAAGAACTTGAAGAAAAACTGCAAGTGAAAAGGCAAAGAATTGAACAAGAAAGAGCAGAGAGACACAAAGCACTCAAGGAAAAGGAGGAACACATCAACAAAGAGCAGGAGAAGAAGAAAAGGGCAGAGGAGACAAGAGCAGAGGAGCAAAGGGAGAGTAAAAGGCAAGAAGACATCCAGCGACAGCAGTGGAAGCAAAAACTTTTCGCTTTGGAAAACAATCTTAAATGTGGATCTGAAAAAAAGACAACTGATGACAGAAAGCTGATGCAAAACAGAGAAGAAATACGAAAAGAACGAGAGGCTTGGGAGAAGGAACGAAAAGCATGGTGGGAGAAACGATATCAAGAAGATCATCTGAGACAAGAGGAAGAGCAAAGACGACTTACAAAGCTCAGAGATGAATATGAGCAGGAAAGAAAGGAATATGAACTGAAAAGAAAAGTAGAGGATCAAAACAGAAGAGAACAGGAGGAAAAAGAATGGAGAGAATTACAAGAACAGTTTCAGAAGAAATTGGAGGACATGAAGAAGAAAAATGAAGACGAGACCAGAAAGCAAGCTGAAGAATTCAATCATTTCAGACTTAGATATACCATGGACTTTGCAGCTCTGACGGAGAAGCATGACATGGAAATGGAGGACATGAAGCAAAAGCAACAAAAAAACAATGACTTCATGATAAAACAACTAAGCATGAACAGAGCATATCAGAAAGACTTTGACAGATTGAAGAACAAACAAGAACAAGAAATGAATGACCTGAAACAGAAACTTTCTGCACAAAGCAAAGAAGTAACTGAACTACAGAAGGTACATGAGGAAGAAATAAATGTCTGGATACAGGAACATGTGCAGAAAGCCACAGAAGACAAGGCTTGTTGCATTTTATGAGATGCTTTTTCACAAGAGCAATGAAATTGCCTATGCAAGACAAAAAGTAGCTTTTGGTTCCCTATTGATGCATCTGTATAGAAGTATATCGTTGGTTTATTAATTATGTTCACTTAAGGGCTTTTATCACATCATGTTGAAACCAAAGAAGCACAGTCCACTTGTAGTTGCACACAGGTGTTACAGAATGAACCTTTTTTTCAAGCAAAGGATTTCTAAACTTGGTACAGACACCTGCTTGCAGAGAGCACACAAACCTGACAATGTAATACCTTTAAGTTAGCCACCAAAATAACTAGGGCTGTAGTCTTGGTCAACTAAAGTCGCACATAATCTTCAATTAATCGATTAGTCGTGGGAAAAAAAAACAAAAAAACTGCACGTTATTTTTACTTCTGCGGTGGTGTGTCTGTGTCACTTTGCAGATACACCTCCAAAACACAAGTCGGCGGTGGAGGACTGTGTTAAGTGCTGTAAAGTTTAGTTCAAATCAAACTTTATTTATATAGTTGATTCAAAACACACATGAAACACACATTAAACACACATTAAACATGGCTTAATAGAGACCATTTCAAACACAAGTACGCAAACTGGCTTCACTATAAATCGCAGCATTCACAGACAAACACTTGTCTTTATCTGGACACATTTCCAACACCAATACAACATGCTAACGTTATTAGCACAAGTCTGTGGCATTTTACATTGTATAAATTAGCCTAGCATCTAGTGATCTTTTCCTCTTCTCATATAAAACCAGGGACAACAGCAACATGTAACAAAGGTAACGGTACATAATTCAGCTCCATTACAACTCACAACATTCACTGACAAAACAACTGTCTCATACTAAACACGTTTTCCAAACAAATACAACATGCTAACGTTATTAGCACAAACCTATGGCATTTTACATTATATAAATTAGCCTAGCGTCTAGCGATCTTTTCCTCTTCTCATATAAAACCAGGGACAACAGCAACATGTAACAAAGGTAACAGCACTCAATTCGGCTCCATTACAACTCACAACATTCTCCGACAAAACAACTGTCTTATACTAAACACGTTTTCCAAACAAATACAATGCTAACATTAGCGCCAGCCTATGGCATTTTACATTGTATACATTAGCCTAGCGACGAGTGGAGATTTCCTCTGCTCATATGAAGCCAGGATAAATCACACACAAGACTTAAAATGCTATTTTAGTGGAGGCTTTACTCTCTTCACAATTTATTGTTTCTTATCTGTGAAATACAAGTAAATACATGCTTCGTTTCCACTGAGGGAAATGGTTTCAGCTTACAGAAACAGACAGGAGATCTGCATCACCGCGACGCTGAGCGTGAAGGTGGGCGAATTCAACTTTCTGTCAACAAGGGGGGTGTTTTGAAAACACCCGCATGAAATACGCGCTGCAGGAAATAATGGATTAATCCTGAAAAGCTGTTGATGTAGCACTTTTCTCCTCATGAAAGTAACACGGCGATTATTGGACCAATGAGAATTTGGTCGGACGAGAGCATAGTGACCAAATAATCGACTAGTTGACCAGGAGACTACAGCCCTAAAAATAACCCGGTTCCAAGTTGTACTGACACGTCTCTGGTCAAATGTTACCTGCATTTGATCATTTTTGGGCTGGGAGTATTGTGAAGTTGAACGTGATGTGGCCTTTTGATGGAGTTAGGAGTTTAGCATGCTGAGATGCCAACAAAACACTGGAAATAATGGCTACTGTAAAACTTCAATCAAAAACTGAAGGCCAGAAAAAAAAAAATCCCTTTTTCTTTACTACACCTTATACAAATAGTAGGACCTGATAAGTATACAAAATTAAACACTGTCAACAACAGAAAAAGCCCAATGTCCTTAAAGGAGGACTTCCTAAGTAAAAGTTTTTCAGCTTGTTGCTGTTGCTAAAATTGGTCAAATTTGTCGCCATATCAAACTACACATTATTAATCATAAACAAACGAGTTTCAACCATAAAATCTGATCAGGTTTTGGACCTGGTCCACTCTTGTGTCGGGATCAGCTGCAGACTGACTCAGCAGAGATGGCTGCCATCTTGTTTTTACATGGATTAGTGTATTGTGCTCTTGCTACCACTAGATGGCACAAAAAGTGTCCAGGATCGAGGACAACAGGTCTGAGTTAAGAAGAATGAAGTAGGTCTATAAGGTGCAGTAAACCTCATATGAGGTTACAGGGTCTCAGGAGGAGGATATAAATGTTTGAACTTTTGTCAACATAAGGGTGCCACACATTGTTAGCTTGATTGATTCTTCACAATTCAGTCAGTTTAATTTTAGAAAACATGAGCACCAGAGTATAATTCATTCAGATTTACCGGCGTGGTGAACAAGAGAGGAGAAAAGAGCGAAGAAAAAAGTGGTGACCACCTACCTTTGACGCGGTCATACACTGCATTATTTGTATTCCTTTAATCAAAAGAACCAAAAAAGTTTTTCATAAAAATGAATCCAAGTTGTGAATATTGTTTTCAGAGGATAAAGACAGATGTCATGTTGTCAGTGTGCGGCATGCCAAAAACACAACAGTCATTACATGCTCTCTGTCTCTTACTGTGATGCACTGTCTGTCAGAGCCAGTCTGAGATAGATCACATAAATGACTGCTAAATGATACTTTATTACATAGCCTAATTTTTATAAACATAATATTCACACTGGTTTAGAACAGTTTTATGTGAAAGGAAATGAAGGCCCATCCCATGTAGACTCCTGTCCCAAACAAAGCCTGTTGACTTCAGCAAATAAAAGCTGTTAATGTGTTATGTGTAGAGTTTATTGTATCATTCATAATATAAACTACTTTAGAGTTTGAGGTCTTTACAGAAATATGTAGAAAAAATGATTTTTTTGTGTGTTTTTAAAAGGAGAGGTTTCAGTGATAGAAACAAAACATGTGTGCACATCTTTATCATGTATTTTATTAACTGTATTAATTTTGCTTAAAGTTATGATGTCAGTTTTTCAGTGAAATTGTGTCCGTATTTTATTAATGTAAATCATCATCAGTTTAAAATGTCATGTATTTGTTTTAGGTGTCTAGTTCTTTTGTTTTTTTTATATTCATAATGATTGAATGATTGTTTGCACAACATTATGATATTTTTCATTTCTAAATTTTGTAAAGGAGAGATACCTTTGTCAAACATTAGTTAATCACCTGCTCTACTGTGGTAATGTCTTCTCGTTTCTTCAAATAAACTACATCACACTGAGTGACTGACTAAATTAATGTCTGTTTTTCTTACAGCAGGGGTAATGTAAGACAACTGACTATATTGTGGGTATGGTAGTGATGACCTTATTTAAGTGGGCCTACAATATGTGCTTGCAAACCTTAGTCCTTAATGGGGCTGCAAAATTCTTGCTAAAATGTTTCAAGATTTGAGATTGTGATTCTCTCACACAAATCTTACTTTTTCAACAAAAACATTTCTTGCATTCGTAGATGCTCAAGTGCAAAAATGACTTACATATAACACAGTGCACGACTAAACCTCAAAGTCTCTTGTAACAAATCATGCCGCTTATATGTGCCTTATAAGCAAAACAGTAAAATAAAGCATATAAGTACAAACAGGGACACAGGAGAGAAACTGAACTTCAGACCAAAGACATGGTAAATGGACCTGCATTTGTATCGCGTCTTTTTAGTCCTCCGACCACTCAAAGCACTTTTAAACTACAAGTAAAATTCACCCATTCACACACACACACACACACACACACACACACACACACACATTGGATGGAACAGCCATCGGGAGCACTTTGGGGTTCAGTATCTTCCTCAAGGATACTTCAACATGCAGAGGAGCAGAGGATCGAACTGCTAAACGTCCAATTGACCTATGGCTAAGCCACACCCCCTCCACTCACTCGGACAAACTATCAACATTCAGTGAGCGGCGCTATGGCAGGTGTCACAGTACACGGCATTTCACAGGAGGCAACTGATGATTTTTGGAGACATAACGATCAGATGTCATTGAGAAGTAACCAAAAGGGCCTAAACTACGCATTGGAGGGATATATTCATCATTTTATTGTTGAGAAGGTCGATGAAAAGCTTAAATTACAAGCCAAAATTTACAGGTCACAGTGTACGCTTGTGAACCGCATCTGGTTGCCGTCACCATCAAAGACAACAAGTTAAAGTGCCACTGAAGTTAAGGTTTTTGGCTCAGAATATGAGAAAAGGATAACGGCCTTTTTACCATCTTTACCAAGAGTGTCTCTCCGTTAGTTTGGTGCTACAGTATTTACACTGAATCATTCAGCATAACGTTTGCCAACCTTTGTTATCTCTGCCATTACAGATAAGTTAATGAAGCTAAGCTCCAGAAGTTAACGTTAGCTTAACTAGAGCCCTTTGGACAACAGCTAACAATGATGTACGATCACCAAAGTACAAAACTAGAACAAAATAGGCTAATGAACTCCCAGCAAACAAGGTGACATGATGAACAACGCAGCTAGGAGCTAACGTTAGGCTAACTTTAGCTAACGTTAGCTAGAGATGTTAAAGATAACTTTATATTTCTTTCCAGCAAAGTGACAATATGTTGCCTCAAACACAATGTTGACTTACCTTAGAACAGATGTAGACATCATTGTTAATCTTATTCACGTTGAGTTGATGTTGTGGTCTAACGTTACCACACAACTTTATCCAAAGGAGACACTTTTCTCGCTTGAGATGTGGTTTAAAGTGTAAAAAATACACCTCGTCAACACGTGAAGGCAGCATGACAGGAATGCACAGGTGAATCACTGTCATTTAGAAATGAGATCGGATAGACCCATGTATTGACATTATGATTTCTTTTAATTACTCATGCAGCTCTAGTCCTTAGTGAAAGCATTTGTGGATTCCTATTTTCTGTGGCTGATTAAAGTAGCAATAATATTGCTGGTCACTAATGGTAGTCAGGTTGCTGATGTGTGCTTTGGACAGTGTGTGGAGAGGTTTGATGTTATTGTATCTTTCCAAATTTTTAATGGCTTAAGTTTTTGTTTGAAGAAAAATCAGACAATTCCAGAGAAAACAGGTGTGGACCAGGTGTGTCAGTTCATTAACTTGTTAGTAAGTGTGATGGTGCTTTTATGTTTAAAATATCTGCCACAAAGTCACCAGAGTCCTAAATATTAATTTATCTTACAATGACTAGACATATGATTTATAAATAGCCTGAGAGCTTTGGTTTGGTGCAAAACAAAGATGTTTTTTATAAAATAACTCAAGATATGTGACATAATTATGAATTAAAATCAGTGCTTTTTAAAGAGAGCTGCTTCATGCACTCTGCAAATTGTTATTGGTGTCTCCAGGACAGTCCGTTTTGCGACTATGAACAAATGTCTCAGTGAAAGTTTGCCATGCTGAAATGTGTGTTTTTTCAGTGTATTGTGGTATTGCATAGTTAGTACATGTATTTTTACATGCTCCTGTTACAATAAAGGAAACTTCTGGATGACAAACACCCACCAAATGTCAAAGCATTAGACTTATCAGAATTAGTCTTACCTGTACTGTACCACCATCATGTTCTGCTCCCCACAGTGTCTGGCACAGCGGATATACCTCATCCAGCTGGACTTACTGGGATCATTACCATCGATAAAGTGCTGTAACGTCCCCTCTGCATCGTAGATCTGGAACACACAGATATACACAGTCAGAACTAAACGCAGTACGTATACAGACAGACGTGCTCTGCTTAGTTAGGATTAATCAATTAATGAAGTGACCTGAATGTGCACGTACAGTACATCTGTTAAAAACAAGTGTTACAGTAAGAAGTAACTCATACAGATACAGATACAAATATATCGTGTGACTGGCTGCAACTAATGTTACATTCATTTTCATGATGGATGACTCCCCTGTTCATTATATATGATTTAGATTCATTGTTTATTTTATAAAGTATCAAAATATGGTAAAAAAAAAAAAAAATGTACGGGACATATTTTATTCAGTAAAAAATCACATTTGAGAGGCTGGAACCAGAAATTAAAAATGACTGAGAAAAATGAATAAATAATTGGAATAGGCTAGTTGCCAATTTATTTTCTTTCAATCACTAAATCCAAATCAGGTCTCCTGTCAGGTAGGATTTCACATTCAACAAACTGCCTCTGTGTTTTGATTCATAACAATAAACTTAACAAGAAGAAATACAAATAAAAACAAGTACTGCAAAACTCAAGAAATAAATCTAACATAGAATAGAAAACATTATAATAAATAAATAAATAAATACAATATATCTGTTTTTAAAAATGTCAAGTCAACAGTTTGGTGCAATGTGTAACAAAGTATTGTATAATTAATAATTAATTAATAAGATATCAGGTGTGGAAACTAAAGTGTCGACATACTGTTTCAGCTCTACTTGTTACCACAGGAAGTTTCCTACGTCACTCAAACTATTTAAGAAATGACCAACTATCTGCCAAACAACCATTTTGATTCCATTATTTTAGGCTTATTACACGTAATATATCTTAAATTTTAGCAGTTTTAAAAGGGATCCTGAATTGTCAACAACAACAACCTCCTGTGAGCACCGCAGGAAGATTACGAAGCCTAAAGTTAAGATGATTACAATTAACATATAATATCCTATTAGATTGATTCCACCTGATTCCATGTCTCACTGTCTCGCGCAAACGCGCACACGTGAGCGCGGTGCCCAGAGAGGCAGTCAGAGCTACAGGCTACAATGAGGCTAAAAACAGAGTTCAAATGACGTTTTTCCAAACAACTTTTTATGTCGGGGCTTCAGGACACTTGGATCACTACGGACGAGCAGTATGGAGATATTTTGTGGTTTCAATTATGTGTTTTTGGACGTTTGAATCTGGGGCGCCGTCAGCCTCCATTAGGTGGAGTTGTGTTGCTACCTCCTCTCCCCTTGGATCTCTGCAAGTGATGTGAGGACTCTAAAACTTCACCTGAGCCTCCCTCGACATATGGGTGAGTAGATAATGGCTGAATTTTCATTTTTGGGTGCACTATCCCTTTAAGACAAATGTTTCACAATAAAGCCCAACAACAATCAAAATTATGTTGCAATACTAAAACACTAGAGCATATATGCCTGTGTCATTTCCTACTGTGCAATATTTCACGTATTGTGCAGCAATATTTGTGGGCTATATTTCTATATCTTGACAGTAAATATATTAAACACCATGTGTGTGTTTCATCTTATCCTGTGCAACTACACAGTATCTGTATAAAGATGTATATAGCGTAGCGCTCTTAAAATATCATGTTCACAAGAATGAGATGTGCGGATGAATGAACAAACATCCCAAAACATTATACCTCAGGCCACGACCATCACCCGCACAGAGGCATTAAAAGTTTCACAAGAGTCAAGTCAAAGTGTTACTTCCAGAAATGTTGAGGAAAAAGATCTACAGAACAGATGTTTGTCATGAAGCAGAGGATATACAACCTCCAGTTAAATAAGATTTTGTTGCAGAGTATTTATACCCTCAGATTAGTTTAAGTGTTGAACTGTAAAACTGTAGGTGGTAGAGACAAATTTATGATAAAGCAAAGTCAAAAATCTGTAAATTTTTAGAGATTCATCACATAATGGTGTGATCATGTTTCCGTTTAAGGTTTTCTTAAGAGCTGAAAATGATAACGAGTCCTGCACTCGCAGCTCAGACAAAAAGAAATAACTCCAGTTGATTTGAAATGTTTTAAACAAGCCGCAGCTACACATCATTAGGCTCTTAGGCTGAAGCTGTGATTATTGCAGGCCTGCTGGGTGCTAAACGTTATACAAACCTGATTTACACCTGCTTTAAAAGCCTCACTGCTCCGCCTGCCAACGGCTCAGGCATAAGCTCTGAAGTCTAAAAATACTTTTACAGAGCGACAGTGGAAGATGAAACAAGATGCACGCACATGAAACAAACCAAACAGGTCTTCATGTAGGAAGAGACAGAAGACGCTTTGGTGTTTGCTGCTCTTGTGCCATAAAGATGGAGCTATCAGTCTGTCCAACATATCTCAACAAGCACTGACTGGACTGCAGTCATTTCTGCAGATATTCAAGGTCTCCAGAGGATGAATCTAATAATATTTAAAAATATTAAAATAAGTGATCAGATTATCATGAAATTTGCTGATCACATTCCCAAGAGAATAGCTCTTTTAAAACCTCAACCTCAACCCCCATTTTGCAGCAAAAATGCCTAAAATGACATACCCAAATTAAAATGACTGTAGCTTCTGAACCGCTCTGACTACATGCATGCATGAGGTCTTGCCAGAAAGAAAACTCTCTGAAGTTTCATTTGATAGTGTCAGAAACACTCTAGGTGATACAGAGACAGAGTAATGGGCCTCTGAAGTCAGTAAAAAAATTGAGGATTTTGCCTAAAATAAAATAAAAAAAATGTATTTCAGGATGAATAACTGTCTGTGGCTTCATCTGAGCAGGTAAATGACACTGTGGGGCTGTAGGCACACTATCAATGAACACTTGGTTCAAATTTTAAGAAGACTGCTCAAAGTATGACCATTCTACAGTGTTTTTTCCATGAAAAGATCCAGGCGGAGCTCCAAATGACAAGTCGGTCACTCGGCTTCAAAACAGTACTATCAGTGATCAAACAACACTCAGCCAGCTTCAAACATCGTACCTTATTGAAATCAGGTGTGATTATGATAGCTGATATTATCATAATCACACCTGATCAGGGCGCATAATTCCTTGTCTCCCCAGTTGCTCATCTTTACAGTGTCTGTCAGGTTTGTGTTTCCCTCTTGCTACTAGCTGCTCATTCCTGCTATCAGCTGTTTCCTGTTTATCCACTGCCAGTGGGTCGCACCATCACGTCATCAACAGCTCCTCCCACAAGTCATCAACAGCCCCTCCCGTGGCAGAAGGCCACCTCATTCTTTTTAAACTAAAAGGGTTCCTCCAATATGTCTACCCTACGAGGTGGAAAATTGGGCACCTCAGATCAACTCGCCAATCCGGCTCTGTGTGTTTAAATGCTCGCAGCTTGCCGGCAAAACGGCCCAACATTCGCCGAAAATCTGGCAGTGTAAAAGGGGCTTATGACAAATATTTTTCTGTTGATGACCCCATGACCTCTCCTCTAGTGGCACCATCAGGATGAACTATATTTTATCATACCATAGTATTGGTAAGGATCCAATCAAAGGTTTATGCGAGACATGAGAAATCAGCAACATGTACTGTAAGCAATGTGAAGTCTCATCCAGCTGTTTGACCTAAAAATCAGCTGATATCAGATATTCAGTGGACAAAAATATTTTTTGCAGTGAGCTCCTTGAGACGTGTTCAGGAAGCAAACAGTTTGTATCTCCTTTATTTCCCTGCACAGCTCTAAAGTGTTGACAAGTGCATAAAGTGTTCATATCTTATAAAATAGACGAGACAAAGATTCAGACAGAGGCAAGAGAATCTGGAGACAGACAGACAGACAGACATTAAAGTGCTTACATGCAGAGAATAATAAATGAGGCTGTTTCCTTTGATTCTGGCAGTCATTTACAGCATTGATTGTTTGTTGGCTGTATGGACAGCAGAGAGGCCGGCTATTGGCTCAGGTCATCACCTTATAAACGCACTCAACGCCTCCTCAATACAGTCACACTGCATCACCACGGATGGATGGAGGGATGGATTAATAATGAACACACACACAGAGAGGCTGAGGGACATCGACTCCTTTAAAGTGATTATTGTGAAGCTGTGAATTCTTCTCTTTATTTATGTACTCGTTTTATTTTGATTTTAACCTCCTGAGACCTGAGCTTTTAGTTTGGCTATTTGAGATTAATAGGACCTGATAAGTAAAAAAAAACACTAAGCATTGTCTTTAAGTAGTTTTAGGGGAAAATTACATCCTCGTACGGAGACAGTGGGTTTATCTTAATAGTCACAAGTCTGTAATTAATTATAAAATTTATCATTTCAGTGCCTGAACATTGTTGTGCAAAACAAAATTACAAATGATGCAACATTTGTTCAGTGTTTTGTAACTCTAGGGGCTGGAGCCTATCTCAGCTGTTATTGGGCGAGAGGCGGGGTACACTCTGGACAAGTCGACAGGACAACTATTCATGCTCACATTCACACTTATGTACCTAACTTAGAGTCTTTGGACTGTGGGAGGAAGCCGGAGTACTCAGGGAAAAAACCCATGCTGGCACTGGGAGAACATGCAAACTCTGCACAAAAGGAGTCCCCCACACTGGGGTTCGAACACCTAGCACCACGGTGTAGCTGTTGCCACTGTCGGTTAAATTTGTATGCCATATCAAACTACAAACATTCCATCCATCCATTTTCATCCGCTTATCCGGGCCAGGTCGCAGAGGCAGCAGGCCGAGCAAAGCACCCCAGACGTCCCTCTCCTCAGCAACACTTTCCAGCTCCTCCTGGGGCACCCCGAGGTGTTCCCAGGCCAGATGAGATACATAATCCCTCCAGTGTGTTCTGGGTCTGCCCCGGGGCCTCCTACCAGTGGGACGTGCCCAGAACACCTCTAACAAGAGGCGCCCAGGAGGATCCTGATCAGATGCCTGAACCACCTCAACTGAACCCTTTCAGCGTGAAGGAGCAGCGGCTCTACTCCGAGCTCCCTCCGAATGT